TAGAAAACACGCTCACTCCCAGAAACTGTAACTAAGGTCTGCTCAGCATAGTTGCAGTATAAACCACAGGTGGGCTCTGTGGTTGTTGAGCAAACACAAATGTGCCTGAGCAAGCGTCTGCAATAGGGATTGGCTAGCTGACCTAGTAGGCGGGTATCCTCGAATGCGAGTGGCCAGCTATTATTATATACATACGTGTGTGTGTGTGATAACTCACTTTATTTACAGAAGAACGACATCTCTTCACACGCACACATATAGATATATATATATATATATATATATATATATATATATATATATATATATATATACGGGGAGAGAGAACGTCTCCTGAAGTATGTGGTAAATAAATATCAATGTTATGAGCTTAGACAGAAATGTATATTTTTTTACGTTTAACATGTAAGTAGTAACATATATTACATGTATATTACATTAACAACATAAAATTCTCTCTTTCGCTGAATCAGCAGCAGCTTCTCTGCATGCTGAGTGAATTTTGTCTTTCCCCAAACTTACTCTGTATATCGTCTGCAAGTATCATATCATTTCAGTAGTGTAAGAAGTAGCTACAAATTGACTTTTACGTAAGAAACAGACAGGTTTTCTAAGGCGAATATCTGCTTGCGTATTTCAAGTGTTCATTATCATTGGCTGAGATTTCGCTGAATCTCTCTAAAGTGCCGCTTTGTAGAATCGAAATAAGTAATGTGTTAAACATAATAAAGTATTCTAATTTTCTACAGAAGTGTTATAAGCTAGCTAATGCGTAACATTGAATATGCAGCATTGATATATATAGTTTACTGATTTAGTAATATATAAGGTCATGTTGGGTTATTTAATGCCGAAATTTTTCCGGGGTGACCAGTAAGGATCGAACTCATTACATCATATATATATATATATATATATTAGAAGAACATTGTGGACTGGCGCTACATAATCACAAACAAAGAACACAAACTACATCACTTTTGAACTACCAAATGCAACAACTAAAATGGATATCACAGATAACTCGAAGAGAAAATAATGACATATTCAAGATGTAAGCTTTCCGCACCAATTCAAACAAAAGCTTCGAAAGGAAACTCCCGTCAGTATTGGAAAGATCGATAACAGTTACTGGACTGCTGTTTTCCTAAAAAAAAAAAAGTCTTTTAAGAGAAAAATTTTATAAATTTCAACTGAAAACTGTACTGAAAACTCGGTCAATGAATACCAAATATTTACTTATAGGAAACGTCTAATATTACCATATATTAGGTCATTTGTCAGATAATGTCAGAATTTAGAATCAACATTTTATTCCTGAAGCAGTGTGGTGAAACAGTTATATAGCCGACACTGTAGTTTGAACACGGGTTGCCAGAAAGCAAACACAGGAGATCCCATTATTGAATTAAGTGCATCACGTGACCAGGGTAGAAACGCATAAGGCGGAAGTAGCGTGATGTCTAAACGGATCACCATTTTTATTCTATCATCTATTACTATTTGAATCACCATTTCTATTCTACATCTATTACTATTCCGATCATCATTTCTATTCTATCTTCTGTTATTATTTGTATCACCATTTCTATTCTATCCCCTATTACTTTTCAGATCACCATTTCTATTTTATCCTCTATTAATATACGGTTCGCTATTCTCTATATTGATCACTATACGGATTACTATTCGGTGGTTACAATTCGAGCGAGTACTATTAGTACGAGTGTTATTCGAAGGCTTCTGACACAGTATTGTTCAACGGCGTTACTATAGATGTACCTGCGATTACAAAGTCTCTACTACAACGAGCATTATAAAAGTTACAACGTGTATTCGTTGGCCTTACAAAAGTGGCAACGAGTGTTTGTTCACAGCAAAAAACCGTGCTTAAATCAATGAAAATATGAAATTTTTTATTATTTTTTTATTATTATTTATACATTTATGCAATCAAGTTACAAGATTATTTATGTCTTTATGATAAAACATTCAAAGTTCGGACGCCAAGAAATCTGTGAATGAGGTTTCTGTCTCTTCTTTGCAAAGGATTTTCTTTTGACAAAGAATTGTCAAGATCCTTTAAAAATCTGAAGGCGGTTATTCGTTAACGTTTTAATAAATATTATTATTTGTTGTTTTTATTATTATTATTAATATTATTACTTGTGTTTATCTGTGCATTCGTAGTTTGTTAATTTGTTTATTATTTACATATGTTTATTTATTATGATTAATTGTTATATTTTCTGGATTGGTTATCTTATTTGTTTAGTTTATAGTATTGACTTAGTATACTACATTATTCGCTTTGTACATAGTGTTTATATTTTCATATTCCATTGATAAGTTTGCAAGTCTTTAGTTTTCGATTTTTAAATAACATAGTTTGATATGTTTCCTCGTCTGTATTTTGAGATAAGTTCTCATAGTTTATTTAGTAATTCGTGTTAGTTTGTGAAGTTAATTTTTGATATTTTCTTCTCCAAATTTTACACTTTTTTTTATTTATTGTTGGAGACTATTTCTTAATTTCTATGATATTTTTGGTGACTTCTGTTTTTTAATTCCTATATATGTTTCGAAAGGGTTGTTCGTTTGTATATTTACTATTTGTAAATTACTTTTTTCAGTTACTCCTCTGTATATTTTACTTCGTTTCCTACTTATTTAACAGCGGCTTTGTATATTATATTGTTTTGTAAACAATTGCTATTTCAATAACTTTCGTGCTTTGCTCTGCAGATGTAGATGGTTTGGTTTGTGTCGTTGATTTTTTTTTCTGTTGAGCTTTTTTTATTATTATTTGTGCCATATTCTCGGTTCGTCTGTATCTGATTTTTACTGTCTTTGAATGTCTTTTGGAGATGGCTTGATGCAGGGAAGTGTTTGTGTACGAGTCTAAGAAATATTTTTCCTACACTTGGTTTGGCGTTTTTGTTGTAGAGTGGTTTAAACCTCGTGATGTTTCTTTTTTCTGTTGGCTTTCTTCGTTACTCTCGAACAGTCTGCGGTATGCGTCCTCGCGTTCTCATTCCAACGCTACAATCTCCTGTGATATCTGTGAGAGACTGTCCAACCTTTCTCTCAGAGTGTGGTTGTTTATATATCCATCTGTCAAACCTTTTTCTAACTCGCGCACAATCAAACCCTCAATTCTTGTGGGTTATCACTGACAACGGGTGATTTCTTTCGCTAACAACCAGGGTAATTTCAAGCCACCCCTGCACTTGGCTTCCTTTGACATCATGTGCAAAATTTTGCGTGCAGTGCTTATATATTAAGCTATTATTTGTCCAATACAAGGCCGAAAAGTCCCTCAAGGTAGAGAGTTTCTGTATGTTTCTTTTCTTGTATGAAAAAGGGGTGGACCCCATAACAGTAATCATCAAGAGAGCATCGTTTCGGGAGTTTGCTTATAAGAAACTCACTGAAAGAGACTTCCTTAATGACATTGTAATACAATGAGAATAAGAATGAACCAAACCTATTTTAATTGCATATAGGTTCCTATCTGTAAATATCTGAATTGATGAAACTAGGGAATGTAAATCATTCGAAATTTTTCCATGGGAATAACGATAAAGAATCTTGATGTTTTACGTTCGTGAGAAGGCATTGTCGGATGGAAAGTAATTCATCAACCACAAGTACGCGTAAATGTATTTGAATTTTATCAAGGTTATAAAGAAAGGATTGGGCAGCCTCAGCCGAGATATGGCGGCAATACTACATTTTAAGTTTGATTTAACTTTTGTAAAGATGGCATATGAAGTCAATTACGTTCACCAGTGGTATGGAAAGGAAATATTTTTTCCAGCATCTTTAGCAATGGATATGAATTTCAATTGAGGTCTAAGGTGAACCTGAGTCCCAATAAATGGTCAAAATAAGGAACCTCTTTGAGAGTGAAACCATTCATCTTGACTAGTAAGAATTTAGGCGCAGTTCGGTGATGATGAAAAGTTACTAGCTCTCTTTGGAGGTATTGACTGTTACAAGCTAGTTTTCACCCTTAATTCATAATAACTTACACACGCATAGACACGAACACACACGCAAAACACACACACACACACACACACACACACACACACACACACATATATATATATATATATATATATATATATATATATATATATATATATATTTATAGCCAGAATAAACAGTGAAATATATTTTTTGAAATCGTATTTATTAAAAAGTGCTCAAAAACCAAACTTGCAGAGCGATTTCATATTTTGAAAAGGATATGAATGTTGACCAGAACACAATCACGGTTTCGACAGCCAAGGTTTCGTCAAGTGTTTTGTTCTCTGGCGAGACTTTAGCGGTCGAAACCACAGTAGTAATCTTGTCAGCATTCATATCCTTCTAGATATATATATATACATACACACACACACATATACACTCACACACAAAACACACAAGCACACACAAACACACACAAGCACACACACACACACACACACATATATATATATATATATATATATATATATATATATATATATATATATATATATATATATATATATTCATTAATTAAATTTCGTTAAATTCCAGTATTCTTACAATTTTCCCGTTTGGTGGGGAGCAAGGAAGTACAAAAATTGTCCATATTGTCCATGTCCCAAACGCTTTCGGCCAATTCTTTAGTCATTTTCAAGGGGGGGGGGTTTGGGTGGTGTTAATTCCTCTTCAGGTTTTGACTGTTGAAGATCTTCTTTTTTTTTTGTGCTTTTTCTGAATAATAGTAGAGGTGTTCAATCCGAGCCTTCCTTGAGTTGGACGTAGTTGGAATATGAGTGAGCGTCTTTTTATGTCGTTTATTTGTTGAAAAATCTTTTAAAGAAAATTTACTATTATTTATATATATATATATATATATATATATATATATATATATATATATATATATATACCTCAAAAATCTAGTGCTGATACAACCAACAGAAAACCTCAAAAACAAAGTTCAAACCACGACTTAAGTTTCACACTACACTGATAGTCATGTGACCAGAAAGCATAGATAGATAGATAGATAGATAGATAGATAGATAGATAGATAGATAGATAGATGCTGGAAAGCAAAGAGAGAAATATAGGAAAGACAGGTATAAAAGTGCGAGAGAGGAGAGAAAGCGCGAAAAAGATAGATAGATAGATAGATAGATAGATAGATAGATAGATAGATAGATAGATAGAATTAACAGATTACGGTAGATAGATATGAACTGATTAACATAGATATGAACAAATTAAGATAGATAGATATGAACAGATTACGGTAGACAGATATGAACATATTAAGGTAAATGGATATAAACAAATTAGATCGATAGATAGATAGTTAGATAGATAGATAGATAGATAGATAGATAAGAACAGACACACACATATATATATATATATATATATATATATATATGTGTGTGTGTGTGTGTGTGTGTGTGTGTGTGTGTGAGAGAGAGAGATACTGAGAAGCAGAAGGGACAAAATGGAAAAAAGATAGAGAAGAAAGACAGATTTATGAAAAAAAGAGAAAGTGTAAAATTGAGAAGACGAAAAGAAATGCTAAAGGAATAAAAAGAGAATCGGAAGGCGGAAAATCTATTAAAGGAGAAACAGAAAGAGAGAGGAGAAGTGGAGAGGGAGAAGAATTGAAGAGAGAGGAGAAGTGAAGAGGGAGAAGAATTGAAGAGAGGGAGAAGTGAAGAGAAAGCGAGAGAGAAGTGGGAAGTGTAGAGAATTTTAAAAATTATAGCAGAAGAGACGCTGACCCAAGTGAAGCGGCAAGAACTGAGAAAACGTTCAAGAAGAAAGAGAAAATAAATAAAAGAATTTAACAAAAGTAAAAAACAAAAATGTAAGAATAATAACGAAAAAAAAAAAGGCTGAGTGGAGACATCAACAAAAAAATGATCGATTGCAAATAGAAAAAGAGAGGTTAAAAGTTCAAAGGGAAATGATTAGGTCCAAGAAAGAGATCGATAGATCAATAGAGAGAAAGAGAGTGGGGAGAGAGAGATGACGTTGAATGGCAATGAGAGGAAAGGAGGAATAGATAGATAGATAGGTAGATAGATAGATAGATAGATAGATAGATAGATAGATAGATAGATAGATTTCAAGAAGAAACTGGGTTGAGGAAATAAACAGAAAAATATATTTGTGAACAGAACAAAACACAAAACTATGTCATCGAGAAAAGATCATATATATGTATTGTGTATATTTTGGCAGAATGTTTTCATTAAGACATGTTTCATCGAAAATTTAGACAAGTCTTGTCTATTTATTCTCAATAGGATCGTCTCATATTCGCGGACAAGCTTCTTAGTATTCCTACTAAAGAAAAGAGAAAATTACCGTGTTGATACATGTTCATCTATTTATTCTGAATACTTTCGACATTAGTACAATATCATCATCAGAGTACTGTTTTTTGTTTTGTTTTTTGTTTTTTTCTAATACAAAATTGTTGGGTTCATCAAAAAAAAACATATTCAAAATTAGTTGCCTGCCCTTAGCTTTCAAACGTGAAATTTAAACCGTATCGTACATAAGCTTAGCGTTTTTCATTTCAGTTAAAATTTAACTTCCAGATGAACACAACAATTTTGTCTTGGAAAAAAACAACACCCTGATGATGACATCGTGCTAATGCCGAAAGTACTCGGATTACATGAATATGTATCAACATGGTAATTATCTCTCTTCTTTTAATAAGAATACTAAGAAGTTGACGGTGAATATAAGAGGATTCTATTGAGGATAGGTAGACAAAACTTTTCTAAATAGTTCGATGAGACATGTCTTAATTAAAATATGCCTCAAAATTTATACAATATATATATATATATATATATATATATATAAGTGAACATTGAAGTCAACACTCAGAGGCGACAGGCTGTTTCATACTAGATGCAATCGTCAGGCGGCCTGACGATTGCTTTTAGCATGAAATAGAGTGTTGACTTCAATGTTCACTTTGAAATTTATATTTACATACGCTATATCTTTGATATGATATGATATTTTAAAACTATACTTCTGCATATATATATATATATATATATATATATATATATATATGCAGAAATAAATATAGTTTTAAAGTGTGCTATATTTATGGGATAAATGGCTCAATACCAGAGATATAATGTATGTAAATCTAAATATAACAGTGAACATTGAAGTCAGCACTCAGGCCACCTGACGATAGAGTCCAACATGAAACAGCTGTCGCCTCTGAGTGTTGACGTCAATGTTCACTATATATATATATATATATATATATATATATATATATATATATATATATATATAAACTTTTCTCAGCGCTATAGTTTTGTATCAAACCTGTTCACAAATATATATTTTTCTCTTTATTTCCGCATCTTTATTTAATCTTGAACTAGTTCAGAGTGATGAGAAAAGCAAGTAAATATTGAACTTTTACCCTGGTAGTTGTTGTCCGCTACGAGGTTGCTAACCCCTACGCTACAATATGTTCTTGGTACTTCCAATGCAAACATTATTACTCATATATACAAATGTATTTTATGTAGATAATTTCTTCGCTAAACATAATAAAATGACAGCTTTTGATTATAAATTTATCGCCCATTAATTCTCATTAAGTATATTTGAAATTTGAGAAAATGGCAAAAGGTTACTTGCCATGTCACATTTATTGGCTTCATTTGAAAAGTTGAAAAATTTCAGTCTTTGAACATTGGTGAATGTAACTAACGAGGACTTTGAACAGAAATTATGAGTTTGCATCATTAACAGGAGCCAAAAAAGTGCAGGCAAAAATACATCATAGTTAAATTACGGAAGATTAAACCTGACGTTTCGTTGCTCATTTATTTTAATAAATTGTTCTAAGTAAAAAAAAACATCGTTCATTATTTTTATGAATCGAGTCAGGTCTTAATGCGTTTCTATCTTTGACTTTGTGGACTCAATTAACTTTACTTGGTCAATTTTATTTGACAAATTCAATGATTGTTTCGCATGGATTGGCGCACCATATTCGAGGGTTTAAGTTTATATTTTTTTCTTTTCATATCAAACGCTGACAAACAGAAATTGCAAAGGTTTTTGGTATCACAAAACTTTCGCTTTTTATCCAATTTTTTTTCCGAATTAAAGTTTTGTGTTTGCCTGAAATACTCAATGTTGTCTATACTTAGTGATATAATTAATATGATATGACTAATATAAGTGATATAAGTAATATAAGAGTAATTTATTTTCTTTATATGTGCCCTGTCCTTTCAGCACGTAGGCGATCATGGCTCTCCACTTCTCCCTTTCCCTTGTCGCTCTCAATAAGTTTTGTCCCTTTGCTACCTCCCCCAGGCCATGTTCTGTCATCCACTTGCTTAAGCCCGTCAAGAATATTATGCGTTTCTTTCTCTTGTCCATCTTTCTCTCTTTTGACCTGTGAGTATCAGATTCTCCAGGCCCACCTTTCTCAATACGTGTCTCAGAAATTTCAGCTGCCTTTTCCTGATGTTAAGTGTAAGCTTCCTCCTTGTTTGCATCCTCTCCAAGACCCCATCGTACGTTCACATGTTCGGTCCTTGATATCCTCAGCATCCTTCTGTAGAACCATACCCCCGCCGCCTTGAGACTCTTCTTCATCTTTCAGGAGACCGTTCAACATTCGCTGCCGTTGTTAACCAAGAAGTCCTCCTGTCTTGTAATACTCTGCCTAGCTCTTGGAATGCGTCATTGGCCATCCCAATGCGTCTTCAGTTTTCAGCGTCTCACTTACCGTCTTCCGTCAAAACACTTCCCAGATATTGAAATTTCCACACTGCTTCAGTGATATAATTAATATGAGATATAAGTAATATGACTAATATAAATGATATAAGTAATATAACAGTGTGACACCATTTGGGAAACAAAGAAAAGGAAGAAAAGAAGGGAAAGAAATGAAATTTTGATAGTGACAAATGGTGAAAGGTTTCATTGCCATTGCAGAAAATTCTAAATAGATAAAAAATTGACTGTGTCGTGGTGGCGGACTTATATTATCGGAAATAGATAACAGCCACTTGGTGCTGGCGAAAATCTAATTGACAAATTCCAGATCGGCTAGCTAAACTCCGGGACAGAATAGATAAACATTTAACTGTGTCACGGGACTGCCTGACCACCCACGAGCTAAAGAAAACAAAGGAAAATAGGTTAAGTCTTTGTCGAGGGAAAGATATCGTTAGACAAGGTCTGGGTTTTGTTAGAACGTGGCGATAAGAGCGAAACAATATTATCGGAAAAGTTGGCCGTATTTGCTGGACGACCACCCACTCTGATAATTGGCGAAAATCTGACTGACGAAGTCCAGATGAGAATTGAGGTTATCACACTACGGGTCGCATTGTTCTGTTGGCGGCCAGAGAAGAAGAGAGAATAGAAAAGAAAAGAAGGAAAGGAAATAGAAAAAAAATGAAAAAAGAGGAGATAATTATTTTTTCTTTGAGCAAGATTTTTATTTTTAAGAAACAAGGCTAGTCTGGTCACTCCCACACTGTTGATCGGCCATTGGATGAATGTTAACGAGAGCCAGGCGGAGGTAATCATGTGATGCAGAGGGGGGAGGCCTGCTACTACATTTTAAAGAGGATAGGTATAAGATGTTACTGCGAAGAAGTAGGAAAATCGTTGACGCCCTCTGAAGGTAGGGGTAAGAGAAGACTTCCAAAAATGGAAATAATAAATTTTTCCCGACCGAAAACAAAAGAAGGGGATTGTGGATTTGGAATTATCAAGGAACCTCAAACCCCAACAAAGCCCACCCCGGTTTTGGTCGGTGTCCATATAAGCAAAGTCGCAGCGAGCGAAAATCAGAGAGTTTCCCAGTTCAGTCCAGTTCGGATCAGCTTCCAGTTCGCAGTTGAAGTGGGTCCCACCTCGCATTAGCTGACTTGAAAGATTCGCGCAACTTCCGAACTCACCTTCAATCCAAGAACAATTTATTTTTGAAGAGCAACTTAGATCCATACCACCAAAATAAGTTTTACGACTATCGCCTGAAGACACTCCAAGAACCAATTTCTTAAAGAACAGACAACTTAAGATGTTAAAACTCACCTAACAAAAACAACGTGTCACAATCCATATAGCGGGTCGGGAGATATAAAGTATTGTTATCCTTTTTTTGATACCTTGAACTTTGAGTTATTATTTTCTTTTCTTTTACACATATTTGTGCGATACCACCCTCATTTGAACTCAACTTGCATTACGGCCCCAACGACTGATTGATTTCGTCTGCCTAAGATCAATTCACAACGTGGGTAGGCGGACTGGAGATCAACGCAGTTACTTCGGTAACCAGACGTTGGAAGCGAGTTGGGAACGACGAGGCTGATATCGGATCTGACCAGATTCCCATCCGAATCACCAAAAGGTTAGAACGTCATATTTGGGTGCCGCGACCAATACCAAGCCAGTTGGTCGTCACAGGACGGGACAAGACGACTGACGCAGACAGGCGGACGTCACGTTTGGAGCGGCGACACCCGAACGAAGCAGCGAGGAGCGAGCGAAGGCTGTAGGGACGTCACAACAATAATTTCTTCTTCTTGTGTGCCGTGTCTTTTCAGGACGTAATCGATCATGGCTCTCCACTTCTCCCTTTCCCTTGTAGCTAAGAACAAGTTCTGTCCCTCTTCCACCTCCCCCAGACGTCATTCTGTTATCCACTTTCTTAAGCCCGCTATGTATGTCATGCGTTGTTTTCCCTTGTCTCTCTTTCCCTCTATTCGACTTGCGAGTATCAAATTCTCCAAGCCCTCCTTTCTAATTACACGTACCAGAAACTTTAGCTGCCTCTTCATGATGTTAAGTATAAGCCTCCTCCCTGTTTATATCCTCTCCAAAACCTCATCGCTGCTCACACGCTCGGTTCATGATATCCTCAGCATCCTTCTGTACAACCACATCTCCGTCGCCTCGAGTCTCTTCTTCATCGTTGAGGAGACTGTGCAACATTCGCTGCCGTAAAGGAGGACAGATGTCACATAAAAGCTCAGTGCTCTTTGTTACCAAAGAAATCTTTTTGTCTCGCAATACTCTGCCCAACTTTTGTAATGCATCCTTGGCCATCCCAATACGTCTAGGGATCTCAGTGTTGCATTTACCGTCCTCTCTCAAAACGCTTCCCAGATATTTAAATTTCCGCATTTCGGGATCATTTTTTTACTGATGAGCATGCATTATTCTTGTATTTTATGCTTAGTCCCTTCTTCTTGCTCTCCTCCGCTACCTTCTATAGAAGGTTTTGTAATTTCTTTTCTGTGTCTGCTATCATTAATGCATCATCTGCGTATCTGAAATGCTTAAATGATGTGCTCAAAAAACTAGGTAAACTTTTGTAATGAACTGCCATAATTCACTTCCTTTAATTGGTCTACAATACGCACGTTCATCAATACATTCATAACGTAATGATAAAAACTCATTTATTTTTACAGAAGTATAATATTGCAATGGCTTTCCGTTTTTTTTTTGTTTTGTTTTTTTTGCAGCGAGAATTTTGAGATTACGCCGTCTCTCCTCGCAGACAAGGATTTGTCTTTGAAGTTATTTTCTTCATGCCTTTGCCTGAAAATGCATGACCTAGAAGGCAGCAGGTCGATATGAACTCAGTTTTCCTTCTGGTTGACTTCTAGACTGGTTGCCAGTCAAGGCTATAAGACCAGGTCCATCTTAATATTTTACCCATAGTTGAGGGGAGAAGAAATTAATTCATACTCGCACGTAGGTCAATGTAATGAACTCGGCTAGAATTCTAAATTTGACTCTCCAATTAAACAATCTGAGCCTCTAACCATTACTCCAGCGCGCCTTGTCAAGCCTAGTGGGATCAATCAGTTAATCCAATAGGAAATGTTCGGAAGAGCTCATTTCCAGTAGCTAAACCCCATGCCACATATATAGGGTCAAATCATAAAAATTCCCATTCTATTAAGTTAAGCAACGTCGAGCCTGATCAGTACCTAGATGGGTGACTGCTTTGGAATATCAGATGTTTTAATCTTGGATGTGCGGAAGGTGTAATGAAAAACGCTCGAAATTGGAAATCGGAAAGACGAGTTCCAATTCCAGTCGGGTTCTTTATATTCTCTTACGCGAAAATAACCTTGGGAAATACATGAATTCAACTCCTCTCCTCTAGCTATGTGTTAATTAGTAAGATTCGTATCACTAAACAATGCCTCAAAAAAATTCTTACAGTCTGAAAATATTTTCTGGATTTAAATAACCTGCAAAGGGTTGATAAACCATAAAAAAATTAATTAATTAATTAATCAAACTATTGGTAAGAGGGTAGTTCTACTTTGTAAAACTGCATCCCAAGAGGATGTTTTCTTGATCCCTACAATTAATTCATCTGTCTTTGGAAAGGCAACAAATCCATTCTTTTCCCCCTAGCTATGCGTTAAATAGCAGAGTAGTCTAGACTCCCTACCCATGAGGGACAACTAATTCAAAAGAAGGAATACTCTCAATTCAAAACTTTGGAGAACGTAACAGGAAACCACTTTACTATCCTTTCCAATTATCATGACAATTCAAAGACCATAAAGAAAACGGATCTGTGGAGGGCCATGATCGTTTGCGTTATGAAAGGACTTGTCATTTAAAAAAAAAATCTTAATAACAAAATGAACATTATACAGCGATAATTTCACCGGAAATTATATTAAATAAAAGAAATAGTTTTCAATCTTAGAAATTAAAGAAATAGTTTTGATAGAGAAGCACACATTGAAGTGTAATGGTTAACAAGCTAGCGTAGCCGACTATTACTATTGTATTGATTTCAGTCCTTACGCAATCGTCTATATTTTTAATTGTGTGCCAAATTAAACTACACTGGTTAATGTGGAATTAATAAATGCTAAACTCTTCAAATACCTCGGTGTATGGATCAGTCATTACAAATTTCAGATAGGAGATAATGAAATGTAATATAAGTTAGTATGCATTACGAGTAGTTTCGAACAATACCTCAAGTTGCTACACAGCCAAAGCATTAACCTAAAATCTCAAGTCATGTTCTTAAATAGTCTTGTCAGATCAAGACTCTCTGGTCCTGGGTATGACAATAAACAACATTCGGCAGCAAGGCCTCTGATTAGGAAGTTTGGGTAGCGTCCAAAACCGTCTGTGAATGTTCAAGTACGACCTATGCACAACGGCTTTTCTCAGATCAATATTTTAAAATAGCTTCGAGGGAATGGACCGTGAATGACGACTATGCTTCATCAGATCTCATAGACTGACGCTACACAACCACAAAGAGCTTTACCAAATAAAAATACACAACCCTTGAAGAACTCAAACATAAGCAGCAACTAATGGATATCGTATGTAGCTAGTAGAAAAAATAATATATTCAGTATGTTGACCTTCTACACTACCTTAAACAAAAGGTTAGGAAGAAAACTCCCATAGAAAGAGCGATAACGGTTAGTAGGCTTGAGAAACTTATTTTCTTGAAAAACTATTTTAATCAAAAGATTTTATACATTTCCACCGACAGTAACGACTAACTGTTCGGTCAATGAATGTTGAATGTTTCCTTATAAGGAAACAGTTGTCTGAGCATTACTATCACAATTATAATATGCGCTTTGCTGTGGCGCAAGGGTTAACAATCACTCACAAACTATATGTGACGTTGGTTTCACTGCGGACTCCACACTTTCGGCCTCTTCTCAGACTCAGCTGTCATCATCAAATGACTGTAGTGAGTTCACTTTTAATTTTTACACTCTAACTTTGACTCCATCTAAACTGAGTAATTGTTGAATTTCCGTAATTCCCAATGTATAATATTCCTTCATCAATAATACGCACAGTTGGTGCGTTTGGCGCAACCAGTTTACGGACGAACTCATCACCAGACCGCCGCAGCACGTGGCCGAACCACCGGAGTCTCCTGTTAAGCAGAGTTTCTTCCAGGCCCAGAATGTTGCATCTGGCGCGGATGAACGAGTTGGAGATCCGGCTAGAGTAAGCGCCGAGGTGGTCAACTCAAGACGGGGCTCGCAACGGTCAAAGCAGATATGGAACTCATGTGCGGACTTTGCGTTTTCGGGGTCCGACGCTGGAATCGCGAATGGCTCGATCATGCCATCGATTCTGCTGCCGATCGACGCGGGTGGATGGCCTTGACGCGCGATGCGGTTAATTCAATTGGAGCCGGCTCAACTCACCCCGGGTGAATGCCATTACAAGACAAGAAGAGATAATACGCACACCTAAAATTGCGCTGAAAGTGTGGGAAAATGCTTCTACTCATGCATAATACGCATCCCGTATTTGGTAATCCAACCGTATAAAATGTACCTCTCCATTTTCATTATGGCTAGCCTTTCCTACTCTCATTTTTAAAAATGGTTTTAAAAATAAAATATTATTCTAATTTAATTTTATGATAATTCATATTTTATACGGCAATTTTTTAAAGGTTTTTTGTAGGTGTGCATAATACGCACCCCTGATTTTGCTTATTATTTAGGAAAAAATGCGTATTATACATGTGGAATTGAAAACCTTTAAAGTTATTACAACTACAGTGAAACATTTGTGTACTTGTTTCACTAAACTTCTGCTCTTGAACGACATACAATTAAACTTGTTCCAGTCTCTTAAATGACGCATAGTCATTATTCTATATTTGAAAAGTTTAGGTCGTTTTCACATTCTACGACCATTTACTAGGCCCCTTCTCCAATCAGTGCTACCTACATATTTGCGCGTAAGTGAATATAACGAACCCAACTTAAATTGAAACTATTCTCTCCGATTTAAAATTCCGATCCATTATCAATTGCACCACTCGCACATACGGTACCTGATATTCCCAACCGGTTACCCATATAGCTACTGACCAGGTGTGACGTTACTTAACATTCAGACAACTTCAGATTGTTATTACTACTTCTTTTTCTATGTGCCGCATGACTTCAGCACACGGATGATGATGCATCTCTAAAACTACCTGTCCTTTATAGCTCTTAGTAAATTTTTGCCTTTTCGCCACGCACCTAATCCCTATTCTGCCAACTATTCACACAAGCTTGTTAGGTAGGTTTGAGTATAAAAGCAAGAGGAATACGCTTGTACATATAAAAGGCTGATTATCTCCCTTTCGGTATTACGAATTCACAAGTGTCACGTAACGGCCGATAAGTGAGTGACGTCAGTTGGTTGGGTAACTAACCCCAGTTGCTGAGCAGATCGCGTAGAAGCAAGACATGATTACCCGCGACGGTGAGGAGAATGGATAGAAACCACATAACCCAAACAAGGAGTACAAATAGCACCACTGGCTTGGCTGTTTTTCTCTTCGGAAAATATTACAATTAAGACCCTCTCTATTTACGCCTTTTCCCACTGCTTGTTTTATCCATTTGTGTTATAGTTTCTCTGTATGGGAATAAATAGTGACAAGTATATACAAAATTGTCCATATATGCATATAATTTATGTATGGCACATTTATATATAAACATTTTGGGTATTGAGCATATTTGTCATTCTTTCATCTTGTCTGCTCCTTTCTTCTGTTGTGTTAAAGTGTTAGTACATTACAGACATACTAATGACTGTGATGGAGGAATTTGTAAGAGAAAATGCTCTCTCCTTCCAAGCATCCCATTACGTTGAAAGAAATACTAGCTAACAATTAATAATTCTCAGAGCTGCAGCTAAGAAATTCAGACAACTTAAAGCTATTACTACTTGGTAAAAAAATAGAAATAGGATGAAATAAATATTCACTAAAAATTAATGATAACTGACATTGCTTCGTCTGTGAAATTCAGACAACTTAAGACTTTCACTTCTCTGGGTGTCAGCCAAAAAATGAGACGACAGAAATACCTGCCAAAAGTAATAACATTTTGCTATGGAGCAGTGTAGTTTGCAGTATGATATCGCAAACTATTCCCAGTAGAGGGAATTTAATTGTCACAGGATGCTCTCATTTTCTGGCCTTGTGCCTAAATAAGCTGAGAACTTATACATCTCAAAAACATATTTTTTGTTTCTATATCTTGTGTTGCGTTCCATTTCATTAATGGAGCCCAACGCCACTCCATAGATGGTACCAACAAAAGACGGTTTCTTTTTCTTATTCTTTTTATTAAAGAAGACAGAGAGACGTAGCGGCAGCTACGCTTCAATATTCTTACGGCCCTCTCATGACTTATATCCGAAACCTAGACAAAGGCAACACTTCTCTGTCAGAATATCACGTCCACGATGTATTCTGACCAATCGTTGACCATCCTGTCCCAGCCTCAACATTCTGTCATACTTATACATCTCTACATGCCCAACGCCTGCTAAAGTTAAAACCAAATACAACTATTGTTGTAACCCAGAAAAGGTTACTGAATGAGGAATAAGCAAAAGGTTGGATATGACATGGTAATCTTTATAACATCAACAAAATGTAATACTCACCAGCGGCGTGAAGTAGGTAAACCACTGCTAGTGGTGGACTACTTAGCAGCGTATTACCCCCAACGTATTTATGAGGATTGGGACATACCCATTAGTGTTCATAGGTATAACAGCTATAAAAATAACATTCATAATAGCAGATTTCGTTTTACAAAGTAGAAACTACAGTTATATATGATTAGTCATTGATTGGCGTATGTATGTTTTGCTTTGTGGCCTTGGTAGTTGAGTATTTCGCAACAGTAGATATTCTTTAAACGTGGTCAATACTTACAGCTGTCACTGTATGCAAAACCTGTGTATGATCAGATGCCTATATTGTTATTGATTAATCTTAGACTGGCACAAAGCCAGAGGTGTAGGAATTAGATTTGAACTTACTAGACTGACTCTTGAACTTCCCTCATCATTACAATATTAATATCTCCAATCCAAGAGTCAGCTTTTATTAATGTTACATACCTTATAATATGCAACCATTAATCCCTCTTTATATGCCCTTACAACATCCATATTCAGTAACCCTTTACCTTGAGTTGTATTTATATTGGGTGAAAAATAGAAAACATATGACCGCTGAAATATTCTACGCTTAATTTGCACTATGCTCCAAGGAAAAGACATAAAATTACATCTCGCACTAAATGAAATCTGTGATTACTCCCATGTTCCGATACAACTTATAGCATATTGCAGATAAGCGCAAAATCAATCAATGGGTGAAGTTTGCAAGGCTAAAAGAAGAGACAGAGGCATTTATAATGGCTGCACATTTCTAAAACCAGTTTACTAAGAATGAACAGGCAAATATAATAAAAATGTTATAGACCCAATATGTAGAATATGGGAACATTATATGGAAACTATTGATAACTTAGTCGATTATTCAATTTTAACACCAACGGAATACAAAAATCGATATGATAATATATATATATATATATATATATATATATATATATATAAAAGACATTTTTATGTTTATACATTATTTTTATAGATACAAGTATTTAAGTGCTCTGTTTTATAATAAACAGTATTAATAACATTTACCGGCCTGAATGTCCGAGAAATTTTCATAGAAAATATTTGTTCTCCGAAGTTATCTGAATCAAACCTGTATCCGATACGGAACCGTCATTTAACCTGACATGCCTTAATATTATTATATAAAGATTGTACACACGTTAAAAGACAGACTAGCCACAAGTGTACACGAATGACAAATGTAAGGTAGTCTACATGGCGCCATTTATCTTAAACATTCTTTAAACTTAAAAACTAAAATTAGATTCAATGACAGGACACAAAGAGTGTGAGTTCAATACCTGGTGGAGGCAGTGGAGAACATTGAGAGGGAATTAAGCAGGCTATAACTGATAACTGACACCCATTAGACATGGCACGTGGAACTAGAACAGTCTACCCCAGTGAGCGAAATAAAGGGTTAAGTTCGACATTCCAACCACCTGAAGAAGGCCGGAGCGTACAACGGTCGAAACGTTGTAATAAATATAGCGACAAAGATGAGAACAATAGTCCGAATCATGTAAATAGTGTACATAATACTTCATCTCAGAAATATAAACAGATACAAAAGCTTTTGTTCAAAAACTTACCTGCATTTTTCTACACCATTAACTTTAAAGATACCAATACTTTTACTAGAGGAGGCACGGTGGAGTAATGGATAGCGGCTCCGACTGAGAAATCGGAGAGCCAAGTTCGATTTCCAGTCGAATCCCTTACATTCACTTACCTGCTAATACCCTTGGGAAAGGTATTATTACGCTTCTCCTCCCCGAAGGACATATAAAGATAAAATCTGTAGACTGGGATGGCAACTGCGGGAATAAAATCTGCTTCGTCAGTCATGTATTGAATAGATACATGATAGCCTAAGCGTGTATTATGCATGGCACATAACTGGCTAATACAGTTACTACGATACCAACCCAAAACATTATTCCAACTCAAGGGTTTCCAGGGTTTACCAATGTTGATTGCATCCATATAACCAACCCCTAAATCAAGCCGTCAGGTTCACCTAATTTATCTCAACACTAATCACTAAAATTACTTATGAGAAATCAGTTATCATTTAGTTCTTCGAACTACTGAAAAGTTTACTTAAAAGCCGTTGTTTGGTTGATTGAAAGTTTTTAGCTAATGTTCTTAATATCCGACATCTCTATTTGCAAACCCAGCATCAGCTTCTCTCTCTCTCTCTCTCTCTCTCTCTATATATATATATATATATATATATATATATATATATATATATATATATATATATATTCTTGACGGTCAATCCGCTTTCAAATTGATCACTCTTTAAATCTTTCTCGAATCTAGTTTTGTTTTTATATTCATAATACTACTTTTTTGTTTTATTATGCCAATGTTTTCAATTTCATTTTCGATT